ATCTCCACACACACACACACACACACACACACACACACACACACACACACACACACACACATGAGATAATAACAAGACATGCAGATGTTTGGAGGAGCGGTGTGGCGTGGAACAGACCCAAACGCCCATGGTACCAGCTGCACCAACAGACAGACAGACAGACAGACACGCGAGCGTGCTATCCACCTTGCATGTGGGGCGCTGATATCGATGATGTGCGCACAGCGGTGACCTGTGGGAACAGAGACCACCTCTGGATATGAGCGCAGCAGCTCCTGCACCACTCGCTGCCGTTCAGCGTTGACACGCGCATACTGTGTGTATGTGTTTGGGATGATGTGCAACGTGTGAGCAGCTCGAAGCTGATTGGATGGCGTGGCGACATGCGTACGCAGCGACTCTTGTGCACACACACACACACACACGCACAACAGCTCGCCCTACCTGTGCGAATCCTTGAAAGAACAACTGTGGGCTGCGAGATCGTTCAACCCTGAGCGAAGCAGCACCACGCACATTCATGTTCACGTTACATGTTTCATAAAGATGAGGGGAAGGCGTTGACGCACACACACACACACACACACACACACACACACACACACACACACACACACACACACACACCGGAAATCACAACCGCACACTTCCGTGCACGCGTGCCATGAACGTTCAGCATGCACACCACACCCGAAATCAACTGACCGCTGCACAAAGCGTGAGAGCTCTGGCTTGCAGATATCATCAACATGCGCCGCCACACGCTCAATGGTTTGGCTCTGTGTTGATGCATGTCGGGCATGAGAAACCACGAGAAGTGAGCAGGTCGGGATCTTGGAGTACAGTATAAGCAATCGCTTGACACGCTCCCAAGCATACACCGACACACACACACACACATACGCACATAGACAGACAGACACATACGCACTGTTCGCTGTTCGTTGACGGCAAAGGTAAGGAAGAAGCCGAGGCCATGGCAGGTTCCCTTCAGGTTGTATGTGCGGTGTGTTCCAGTGTTACTGATGGCGGCGCCTTCTGGATTCCTGGTCACTGATGTGGTGACTTCTGTGAACGTGATTCCAGACAGGCTGGCCATGGTCTTGACATGGCCGAGCGCATCGTCCACTTCCACGTGTTGCACGGACTTGTGAGGCGCAGGCCTGTCTTTGTCGCCCTCGGTTGTCTGTTCCGCTGTCAGCAGCTGCTTCCTGCACGCACGCATGCACGCACGCGACAACGCACAGTAATTGACATGAGGAGTGAAAGCAGAGCAGCAGCAGCAGCAGCAATGAAGGTAGATACCTCAGGGAGTGGTGCGAACCAGGCAAGCAGCAAGCCCAGGGACAGTCGGCAAGCAAGCAGCCAAACAGCAACCCACTGCACGACTGACATGATGGCATCTACGTGGTGCTGGTCCACGGACTCCTCCTGGGCGGCGGCCCATTCCTTTCGCAGCTGCGTCACCTCTTTTCTCAACGCAGCCACACGCGCAGCGAGATCCCGCGTCCTCCCACTGCGTGCCTGCATCGCCGCTATGCCGCTTGTGCCGCTTGTGCCGCTGCTGGTCGTGGTTGTCGTCGTGGTCGCCATCGTTGTTGTTTGCTGGATGCGGCTGTTTGCTGGATGCGGCTGCTGGATGCACTTCGTATTCGCCAGCAACGACCAGCAAAGACCGTTACTGCAATTTGTGGTGTCGTTTGGGACATCTGTGTTTGGATTTCTCGGTTGCTTGCGGTGTGTGCTGACTGTTCATTCACCCCCCTGCTTTGCTTTGCTTGCTTCACTTGTGGCACGATCACCTTTGCGCGGCTCTCCCCGACCTTGTTGTACAGACACAAGGTGCGACAGACAGACAGACAGACACCATGGCCACGACAGATATGGCGGCGTATTGCTTTGGTGTGTTGGAGTCACACCTGCACGACAAGGACCACCCGGAGCCTTCCTTCGACGATGGCGAATTGTGAGACAGCCAACGTTGCACTTGCTGCCTGGCTGTTGTCGTTGCAGCGTTGTTGTCGTTGTTGTCTTTGCTGATTGTTGGTCGCTGCACCACAGCTGTTGTCATATCTCGTTTCTCTTGGTTTCTTTTCGTTCCCTTGGCACCTTCCACGGCCACATCTGTGCTTCTTCTCCTTGCTTTGCGTTGGTCATCTGTTTCCACCCCATATGCTCACACAACTTTGTCCCACTCGTATGGCCTGGTGTGGTTTTGTTGCTGTTTCTCTTTGCCCTCACCTCACCGCTCTCGCTCCATCAGCCCGCTCTTTGTGACTTGGAAGAAGTGGCACGACCGCTACGAGGACTGGGTCCTGCGCGGTTGCATCGGCACCTTCTCTCCCACACCCCTCCACGAAGGTCTTCGCGAATTTGCGCTCACAAGGTACGCAAGCCCCCGGCGGATCACAGTGCTAATGGGTGTCTTGCTGCGTGTCTTTCGCTTGCCTGGCTGTCGCTTGTCTTGCGCTGCTGCTGCTTGTCTGCTGTTGGATCAGCTGTATCCTGGCTTGCTTGCTTGCTGGCTGGCTTGCTTGCTTGCTGGCTTGCTTGCTGGTTTTTCAGCCCCCGTCGCCCCGCCCTCAACCTTTGCCCACCTCTTGCTGCAACAATGCAGTGCGCTGAGGGACACGAGGTTTGATCCCGTGTCGCGGGAAGAGCTCGCCACGCTGCAGTGCGGCATCTCCCTCCTCACAAACTTTGAGGATGCAGAACACCACCTCGACTGGGAGGTATGTCGCTTGCAATCATGAGCATATGGATGTCCGATGATGTGTTCGATGATGTGCATTGACTTGTGCTGACGTGCATTGATTTGCGTTGGTTGCGTTTGCTGTGCAACCCACTGGCTCTTTCGCTCTGCTTGTCACAGTTCCTCTGGCTGCTCACAGCCTGGTGCTTCTTCGTGATTATCTGCTTCTGTGCTGACTCATATTGGTGATACGCATGTGGATGGCATCTGGATGGCAGGTGGGCACACACGGCATTTGGATCGAGTTCAAGCACGAGAGTGGCCGCAAGCGCACGGCCACGTTCCTCCCCGAAGTCATGCCAGAGCAAGGTGCGTGCGTGCGTGCGTGTGTGTGTGTGTACATGTGTGTGTGTGCATGTTTGCATGCCGTTGTTTGTTGCACCAACCATATGAAGCAAGGAGTAGGGCGATGGGTCGCACCCTTGTGTTCCCGTGTCGGTTTCTCATTCATCCCCCCCCCTTTCCCGCTACAACACGCAGGTTGGAGCAAAGTGGAGGCCATTGACGCTTTGCTGCGCAAGGGCGGCTACACATCCAAGATCACGGAGGAGTACAGGAAGACTGTCAAGCTCACCCGCTACAAGAGCCACAAGATTGCACTCTCATATGAGGAGTGGAAGACCGCTGCATCATCGTCAAAGTCCGACTGAAACAACGCCCCCCCCCCCATCTCTGGTGCTCTGTTTATGTTCTGGTTATGTTCCCCTTCAATGGCGTGACTGTGTTTGACGTGTGCTGATGTGTGCTGAGCTGTTGTTGCATTCGATCTTGACTTGCTCCTTCTTCGCACTTGCTTGTGTGTGTGTGTGTGTGTGTGTGTGTGTGTGTGTGTGTGTGTGTGTGTGTGTGTGTGTGTGACATGTGACGACCCCTTTACCGCCGCGCTCGTATCGCGCCCCCTTCCCTTCCTTATTCATGCACTGTTATTTGGCGTTGTTGCGTGGTGGCCCTACTCAATGTGCGCTTTTGCTGTTGTTGCCTGACCTTGGTCGTGTACTGGGTGTGTCCCTGACCTGCTGCACGCTCCCCCGTGCACACATGAACAACACCGTGAAGACAAAAAGTAAAACAGTCACGAAAACCTCAGTGAGAGAGCCGCCCCAAATGACTCAAGCGCGTCGTCCAGGAATGAATGATGCAAACATGCGAGCACGGCGCAGCAGCGACAGGGGAGGGGCGTGCCCTCTCAAGCAAACAACAAAACCGAAAGAACTAACGTAGGGCGCAAGCCGGACACAGGGAACCAAAGAGAGGAGAAGGAACTCAGGAATAGGTGTCACGTCATGTCAACAAATTCAAAGTAGGTAAAAGTGGCGTGGGGGTTGGTGGATTGGAAATGGGGTCAACGCGTACAGCTGACACGTTGCGTGCAAGCAAGCAAGCAAGCAAGCATCACCAACAACGTGTTGTTGTTGTTGTCGCAACCGCTGCTGTCGCCGCTCACTTGGATGCGTTGTCCTTGGAGGTGGCCATGACAAAGTTGAGGAGGTCGATGCGGGTCACAATCGAGTAGATGGTCTGCTTCAAAGACGACTCGTCCTTGCCTGAGACTGTGCACGCGTGGCGTGTGCATGTGTGTGTGTGTGTGTTTGCGCGCGTGTGTGTGTGTTTGCGCGCGTGTGTGTGTGTTTGCGCGTGTGTATGTTGGAGCGCGTGGGACAAGGGGGGAGGTGAGGACAAGGGCGGGAATGGGACGAACCAGATGCAAGCGTGTCAATTTGGAGAAGAGGGAGGGGAAGCGAGACACAGGCAGATTGAACGCATGAACGCATGAACGCATGAACGCGCGCGCGCACGGACACACACACACACACACACACACACACACATGACCAGCAACTTGTGTGCAACTCACAGCAGCGCTGCTCGGAGATGACAAGCACAAACGGCTCCTTGTCGAGGAGGCGGGAGACGCGGCCGAGGGTGGCGGTGGTGGGCACCTGCTTGAACGACTTGTACAGCACCTTGGACACAGGGTCGTCCTTTGTCACGCGCTTCTTCACAAGCATCGACATGAGGTTGCCCTCCGTCATCATCCCAAGCACTTGCCTGTTGCAATGCACGATGGGGGATTTGGGGGCAGGGGGGAGTGGGTTAAGGTGTTAACGTTTAACGTTATGTTTGGATGGGGTGGCAACGAAACCGTCCATGCGTGGTCAAAACAGAAACGGAGTGAGAAAGATTCATGAACAAGCGCACGTCTCGCCTGTTGCCTTCATCTCCACCACTTGCTGTCACTCTCCCTCACACACACACACACACACACAGCACACACACACACACACACACACACACACACACACACACACGCACACACGCATACACACACTTCCACGGACCACCGCCCTTGCCGAGTGTGTGCAACGCACCCTGTCTCGCTGACGACGGGCATCTGGTCAAAGCGCAACGCACCCTGTCTCGCTGACGACGGCATCTGGTCAAAGCCCTCGCGGTGGAGGATCTCAATGGTCTCGCCGCACGTCACCGTCGGCAGCAGCGTCATCGGAAACTTCTGCGGCAGCGCCGTCACAGAGAGCGACGTCCACCTGAACACCATCACCAACGGCAATAGCAGCAGGCGGGTGGAAAGAGACAGCAGATGGCGGTGAGGAACGTTGATCGGGGGCAGACACACGGCAGAGATGGCAGTGGCAGTTGTTATGAGGGGGGGAGGGACAGCAAAGATGGAGACAGCAGCAAGCAAGATGCGTTCACGACGACGCATTAACAACAGCAGCAACAACAGCAGCAACAACAGCAGCAGCATCAGCAGCAACAGCAACAGCAGCAGCAACAAATCACACCACAATAGCACTGACCAGTCCTCCTCTGTTGGGACCTGCTCGTCGGGCGGCTGCTCAATAAACTGGTGCTGGTACATCCACTCGTCCGAGAGGAACTTGGTCATGTAGTTGCGCACCGAGTCTGGGAGCATCACGACGCAGCGCTGGCCCTTCTTGAGGGAGCGCGCAGCCTCGACGGCGGCCCACATGGCGGTGCCAGAGGACCCGCCGCACAGCAGACCCTCGCTGCGGATCAGCCGGCGCGACATGCGGAACGCCTCCCGGTCACGCGTCTTCACCCACTTGTCAATCACATTCCGGTCAAGCACGCGCGGGATAAAGTCGTACCCAATGCCCTCAACCTGGTGCGGGAGCGTGTGCGGGTGTGGTGAGGTGCGCAGGGGCGAGGTGCAGTGGCGATGATGGTGGTGGTGGTGGTACCGGTGGGAAGAAGAGTAAAGGAGACACAACTGCATGCGGAAGATACAAGCACAGGAAGATGGAGGCGGGACAAACTGCAGCAGCACGAACACGAGCCAAGCACCACATAGCACCACAGGATGGTGTTGTACACCGCACCTGGTAGCCGGTGACGTCTGTCTTGTTGAGCTCCTCTGGCTGGGCGAGGATGGAGCCCTCGGGGTCGACGCCAACAATCTGGATGCCAGGCACCTTCTCCTTCAACTTGCGCGCAATGCCCGAAATCGTACCGCCCGTGCCAGCGCCAGCAACAAGCATGTCAATCTTGCCTGCACAACGAAGGGGAGGGGGGGGGAGGAAGAGCAAGAGGAAGGGGAGGAGGAAGAGGTGTTGAGCGTACGTGGTCACAAGATAGGCTGTAAAGCAAGCGATGCCGTGACCGAGGCTGCCACCGCAAGCAGCATCAGATACGGCAACAACAGTACCAACAGCAGCACTGACACCACAACACGCAGCAGCAGCAGCAGCAGCAGCACAGAACAGTGGTGACGCACCGTCGCACGCCTCGAGGATCTCCTCTGCAGTGCCGTCGTAGTGGGCGAGCGGGTTGCCCGGGTTGGAGTACTGGTCAAGGATGATCGAGTTGGGAATCTCCTTGTTCAGCCGGTTCGCAACGCCAATGTGCGACTCTGAGCAGAGGAAACAAGGCAGACGGTGGGTGGTTGTAATTGGTGGATTGGTGTGAAGGGTCAGGCGTGGCATAGGACTGGATGTGTGGGGAGAGAGCAGAGCAGAATATAGAGGGAGTTGGGTAGCAACCGGCACAAGAGTGCACACAGACACGCAGACACACACACACACACACAGACACACACAAACAGGCAGGCAGACACACACGAGCGCGGACGCACCAGGGGAGTCAAAGGCGGCCTCTGTTGGGGTGCGGATGATCTCGGCACCGAGGGCACGCAGCACGTCGACCTTCTCCTGGCTCATCTTCTCAGGCATCACAATGATGCAGCGGTAGCCCTTCACAGCAGCAGCAAGCGCAAGCCCAATGCCTGCACGCAGGGTGGAGACGAACATGTGAGGCAACGAGAGTTGAGATGGTGCGCAATCAAGGGACGGTGGACCGGAGTGAAACACACACACACATACATACACACATACACACAAACACGTGCAGACACGCAGACACACACACGTAAACACACACACACACACATACACACAAACAAACAAACAAACGCACACATACACGTGCAGACACACACATTGCCACAAAGCCAGGCTGGCATACCGGTGTTGCCGGATGTTGGCTCAATGATGACGCTGCCTGGCTTGAGGCGGCCATCGCGCTCCGCATCCTCGACCATGCGGCGAGCAATGCGATCCTTCACAGAGCCGCCAGAGTTGAAGAACTCGCACTTGGCCACTGTTCCCCATCACAAGCAACACGTGCGTGGTTTGCCATGCACACGTGAGACTGCGCTGCAGTGCCAGCAGCGCAAGCAGTGCAAGTAGACGAGCCAGGCAAGCAAACAGTGACAGCAAGCAAACAGGTACAGCCACATTGGAACACGGCGTGTGTGCGCGCAGACTTACGAAGCTCGCACTCGAGGCCTTCCTCCTCAGCGATCTTGTTGATGCGCACAAGAGGCGTGTTGCCTGCAGCCAGGATTGTGGTGGGTGCCCACGTGCAGAGCCATGTCACAACGTGAGTGTGTGTGTGTGTGTGTGTGTGTGAGTGTGTGTGCGGACGTGTGTGAGTGTGAGTGGTTGGCAACAAGGCAAGGAGGACACGCCACAACGCTGTCAAAGCAACACCAGACACCGTCCAGCACGCCACGTGGTGGCACGTTTCAGCAGCGCACCGATGTTGTGGAGGATGTTGGGCAGGATCTTTGGCTTGAGCTCCTGGCGAGCATGGGGACCAGAGGGATCATCCCTGCAAGCAAACGAGCGAGCAGCGAAGCGGACGTGAGCATCCTCACACTGGCTCAACCATCACGGCGAAGGAAACAAGGCAAAGAAGAACAACAACAACAACAAGAAGAGGCGCACATGTCGATTGTGCAATCGCTCTCCAATTTGTCAAACAGGCCACATGCTCTCGCTTTCTGCGCGCACACCATCACGCCCACAGCCATCATGGTGCACACCTGGAGAAGTGGTGGTGGGGATCGGGCTCTGTGGTGCCCAGCTTGTAGGTGCACTTGGATGGACCAAACTCCATGACGACTGCTTTGCTGGTTGCTGGTTGCTGGCGGCGGTGGAGCGAAGACAACAAGACGATGAAAGGAAGGAAGCAGAGGTGGCGCGATATTGGGCACAAACAGGAACAGAAGCGAGGGAAAAAAGGCACGTGGTGGATAGGATGGAGAGGCCTTCAGAGTGCGCACTTTGTGTGGGGAATTGCCAGGGAGCGACGAAACATACACTGCACACGGGAAACATACGCAAACCACCACTGCAAGAAGAAGAGAAGAAGAGAAGAGACAAGCGAGAGGATGATGATGGCTGGTGTGACCCGTGTTGCTGGCCGGCGGTGGCTCTCTGCCGCTGCTGCCGCAACAGCCACGGCTGCTGAGACCCGCGTCACCACGCTCAACAACGGCTTCCGTGTCGTCACAGAGCAGGTGTGCTTTCTGATGCAGTGATGTGTGTGTGTTGGGAGTGTGTGTTGGGAGGGGGGGGGAGCCTGCAGTCAAGTGTGAAGGGTGGTGTGAAGGGTGGTGTGGTTGCAGAGTGTTGCATCGTCGGGGGGACAATGAGTGACACTGGCTCACGCCCGCCTGCATGTCCGCACACACTGCATTGGCCTTTGCGAATTGTGTTTGGTTGGACGTGTGTGTGTGTTTGTGTAGACGCCGCACCAGACGGCC